CTCAGAGGGGCTGGTGGGTTCAAACTGCTGACATTTCGGTTAGCAGCCGAGTGCTTGAGCCACTATACCAGCAGGGCTCCCTTTGGCAAGGATAGACGTGGCTATATATTTAGAGATGAATATTTAGCAATGCTTTTTGTTTTATTGTTTTTTAAACCAAAGATATACCTACATAAAGAGATATTAAAGGCCTACATGAAGTTAAATTATTTTCCTACGTCAAGTTTTAAGCGCTCAGATTTTTTCATGTAGCATACGGTATTGGAAACTTTGAATTACTTGGAAGAATTATCAATTAAATGTTTGAGAATGTCATTTTTCCTGGTTTAATATGTCAAAAAAATTTAAAAAAAGCTTAAGTTAACTTTGTGAATACAAAATGCAGGACTTAAGGAAAGATCTGCCTCAGAGCCTACAGTGTCATCGGAAGAGCGGGAGTCGCATGGCGCACCCGGGGAGCAGGCACCCTCTGGGGAAGGTAAGCTGTCCTGTCCTCCGGCCTGACAGGAACGTCTTCACCTGACAGCCAGCCTAATTTGCAATTTACAGAATGATGCGCTACCCATAATTTGTGTCACATTGTTTACAGAATAATTACTTTTTCTTCTGAAATTTTATAGTAAACAGTGACTTTTTTTTTCTAGAAAAAACTTACACAGAATAATTTTAATTTTGGGGATAAAGAAGCCAAGACACAGATTCCCTGTCCAGGATCACACCGTTAGGAACATCACGAACTAAGAGCTGCTTTTCTCAGCTCCATTCTAACACTGCTGTGCCATATTACGTTGAAAGTAAAAATAGACACTATACATTAGTTTTGTTATTGTACATTACTTAACAAAGTAGATCAAGCAGATTACCAATTTTTTTTTAATATAAGGGTCTCCTTTCCACATGAAAAAACTTTCAGGCACCCATGTGACAGTCTCTGAAGCTTGTTTGCACCTGCGTGGTTTCATAGGTCTCTAAGTATCTCTGCAGCTCCTCCAGGGCTTGTGAATGATAAGTTGAGAAATCCTGTAAGCTTTTAATAAATTAGTAAATGAAATTCTAATTCATTACTACTATTTACTGTTTTATACTATGGTATTTATTATAAAGTACTATTTAGTTTCTGCAAAATTTTCATTTACCCAGTACTCAGGAAATTTGGTTTCTTTCTGCCACCTATTGGAAATCTTAGGTACCACACTACTTCACCGCTCCTTCCCCATCAAAAAAAATCCACTGCAGTCGAGTTGATTCCAACAATAGGACAGAGTAGGTCTGCCTCATAGGGTTTCCAAGG